TGAATCTTAAAAGGTCTTATTAATAAAAATAAACCTGGAGCTAGGTATTGGGGTGAATGCTGGAAGATCAGAGAAGCAGAACAAGCCACAGCCACCTCACCTTGCCAGTTCCTCAGCTGATCCCGTTTCCTCAGACTGGAAGCTTCTGTGTCCTCATCCAAATGGATCTCAGCTGAATTGCTGCTCAAAAGCCTAAAAGCTTAACCGTTCCTAGTTCCTGGTTTTCACACCTTGTATACCTTTCTGCTTTCTGCCATCACTTTCTGGGATTAAAGGCTCTTGTTACCATGCCTGCCTGTTTCCATTGTGGCCTTGAACTCACAGAGATCCAGATGGATCTCTGCCTCTGGAATGCTAGGATTAAAGGTCTAAGTGCCACTATTTTCTGGCCTCTATGTCTATCTAGTGGCTGTTCTGTTCTCTAACCACAGATAAGTTTATTAGGGTGCACAATATTTTGGGGAACACAATATCATCACAGTGCATCTACCCTTTCAAGCCTGAACACTCCACAAAGGATAATCAAAATGTGGAGTTAAAATGTCCCAGCGGTCATGACCACTACCTGGCTCACTTCCACCCTCATACTGATCATCCCAAGGGTGTGAGTCCCAGGAAAAGAGAACCCAGAGCTTCTCACTCATTCTTTGGCTCTGCTGGGCTCCACTCGACATTATTTTGCTTGTTTGACTTGCTTTTAAAGTTCCATTCCTTTAAGTGACTGTAACGTAAAGCCACTTAGCAAAGCACAGTTCTGTTCCACTCTGCTCTTGTGCAGATGGAGCAAGAGAGACCTAGTCCACAAAACATCACAAGAGCCAGTTCCCAGTCTCCTGATCCCCAGGAAGTTAATAAACCAATAATCCAGTGAAGGCATTATGTGGTCTGACAGTTGGCTTAGAGGGAGTTTGAAGGAAGAACGGAAGTGCAAAGACTTCTAAACATCTTCCCTTTCCTCCTGTGTTTTATAACAGAAGCTTTATTGCTTTGTATTTTTTTTGCAAAATTCATTCATTCAAAATATCATAATATATACACAACAACCAGGACTGAAAATAAAACAGGAGTACAAAGCATAGTGTTTTAAATGAGAACTGCTATCTAGACTCTAGGATTTGAATAATGAGTCCCTAGTTGGTACTTGGGGGTGGGGCATTTAGAAGGAATGGTCTTGCTGGAGAAATATGTCATGGAGGGCAGGGCTTTGAAGGTTTAAAGCCTTACATCTCTCTGCTTGAAGAAGTGAGTGTTCAGCTTAACTGCTCCCGCAGAGTCTACAGCTTGCTACCGCATTTCCCTGGGATGGACAGTCTTCTCCCACTGGAACCATCCACTCAAATGACTCTTTCTTCCATATGTTGTCTTGGTCATGGGGTTTTATCACAGCAACAGAAAAATAGCCAAAATACTGCCTAGTTCAACAATGAACCCAAGATGGTCTTCCTGGAACTCAGTCATGTGGGTCTGAGCTTCACTCCAGGACACGTTTCCTCTTTGTTAGTGAAATGTTGGTTTTTAAACCCAGGAAGTGAGAGTTCTTGATCTTCTCATTTATTTGGGCCTCTCGCTCATCAGACATGATGATGGTGGTGTCCTTTTACTATATTGCTTTTTTGACCCTTTTTTAAACAGTTTTCAATATATTAATAATCTCTCCTACATTGTTTTTCTTTTGTATTTCTTAAATCAGCATATATATGTGTTAAATAACGTTCTGATGTCTTGAAGCAAAGGATATTTTGGTTTTGTTTTGGTTTGTTTTGTTTGTTTTTGTTGTTTGGGTTTATTTGGTTAGTTTTGGTTTTTTGAGATAAGGTTTCTCTGTGTAACAGCCCTGGCTGTCCTGGAACTCCCTCTCTAAACCAGGGTGGCCTCAAACTCAGAGATCCACTCGTCTCTGCCTTCCGAGTGCTGGGATTAGAGGTGTGTACCACCATCGCCCAGCTTGGAGCAAAGTATTTTTCAACATAACCTATTTTTTGATTCCCACTCAACCAAATTTTAGAATTATGTGTGAGCAGTTGTCAAAAAGTATTTATTGAGCATAGTGATGTTTGGGAAGTCTAAGCCTAGTCCAGCATAATGATGAGGAAAGGCTATACAAAGCCTAAACACAACCGTGTTGGGCAAACAAGGCTGTCAGGCATCAAAGCACCATTGTATGGAAGGTTGGTTTGACCTCAGAACAAATAAACACAGTTCTGTCCTCGCCCCTGCCTCCCGACCCAGTCCTAGGATCCCTGCATGGTTCAGGACACTACCTCCCAAGGCCATTCAAGAAAGCCCTCTGATGCTTAACCCTGCAAACTTGCTACCTTGTAAATAGCAGCTGGTAGCACCTCTACCTCATTTCTACCCTGTCCAGCCAGGTCTGCTACCTCACACCTTCCCAGCAAGGCATACACAAAGCCCTGGCATTTCTGCGCTGGAAGCTTCAAGTTTAGACTCTGGAATCAAAAGATCTGGCTTCCCGAAACTATGCAGCTATCTGGGTAGTTCTCAACAGGCCATTCAATGCTAGGGACTCAGACCTACTGGACAAAGTCTAAGGCCAAGTCCATTTTTTTCAATGATGGCTTTATGCAAGCCAAGCCACACCCTAGTTAATCTCTAACCTAAAAGGGTGTGGTATTATGAGAATTTGTATGGGAAGCCTTTATTCATTTCCTTACTCGTCTAGTGTTAAGGATTACAATAAATACAGAAAATGCAGAAGATGAATTGGATTCCTTGAGATCTCAAGTAACTCCAATGAAGGAATTAACTTCTCAACTGTTTGAAGGATCCTAAGTCAATGTCCCAGGGCTGTCTTCTAGGCTATGTGGAGGAAAAAAAAAATCATTTGATATTTTAATTTGATCTTTAGTAGTCTCTGTTTAAAATCTTAAAAGGTATTGATTTTCCTCTACAATCTATGCTTAGATAGCCACAACATTCACAGAACTTCCACTGGGTGAAGATCCAAGGGAAGAAAACGAGCATCCTGAGATTCCCCACACAAAGGCAGTTACACAATGCAGCATGCTCTGTAAGGAACATGCCTCAAGAAGCGGGGAGAACAGAGAGAACCAGAGACAGCCTGGAGGCAGCCAAGGGCAAGCCCTTGAGAGTGGACCCGTGTCTGATTTGATGGTGCACACCTACAACACCAGCCCTTGGGAGGCTGAGGCAGGAGTTTTACCAGTTCAAGGCTAGCCTAGACTACATAGTGAAACTGTCTTGTAAAGAAAAATTGCAGAACGGCTGTTCAGCCCCCACCTAGTCTGTAAAAAGCCAGAAGAGAAAGGAAATGGGTGTGGGGATGAGTTTTCACAATTGCCCCCTTAAACCCCTGTGAGTTATCTGGGGGCAGGGATGCACTTACCTCTGGGGAAACTTCCCATTGTATTTGTTAAGGGCTAACCTTCCCACTCTCTCAAAACAAACCTTTTAAAGCACTCACAACCCCTTCTCTTATCAAAGGATCAAAGTTAATTTTTTTCCTGTTACAGCCACTACAGGGATTTATTATCCTGAATTTTTCTGTTTTCTTTTACTTACTTCAGGGCTATAGTAATCCAAGTCTAGGGTGGGAAACCAGATCTCCCCTCCTTGATTCCCTTGACCACCTGTGCACTCTGAGAAGCAAGGGGGTATGCTCAGCTTGTTTTTAAAGGGGAAGGGGAACCTTCCCCAGAATGTGCAATCACTTTATCACTGGGATTGTTAAAAAGTTTAAGACACACCCGTGGGGAAAAAAAATTGGTCCTTGCCTTCCGGAATTAGGAAGAGCAGGTACAGAGGGGAGAAGACAGGTAGAGAGCAGCTGGTACTGGTCCTGACTGTAAGCAGGGTGCCCGCTCAGGAAATGCCTCCCGCGGGGGGTGGGGGCGGGGGTGGGGCATTAGTCTTACGCACTGCCTCTGTCGCCTTTGGGGACAAGGTGCTAGTAAAGACAAGGGTCTTGAATCAATCTAAAAGCTATTCGCATGCCGTACAACACAGTGAAGGAAGTGAAAATACTGTAAAGAATTTCTCTAGCTGAGAACACACAACCAGCCCACTGCCATCTTTCCAAAGGAATTCCATAACTCAGTGCCTATCCCTACACAAGAGCCAGGTTCTTGACTAGTTTATCTGCATGCGAGGACGTGTCACCTTCCAGTTAACAGAAGAACAAAACATTGGGGGGTGGGGGTGGGGCGGGGAGTAGAATTGCTTCTGTCCTGGTTTGTCATTTTCTGCTTAGCCCAAGGAAAGGGCAGCTGCTGGGGGCGCCCAAGGGAGACAAGCTTCCGTAGCTGCCATCTGCCGCCTGCCTGGTCCTTGCCGCCTGGAGGAGTGAGTCCCTGTGCGCTCACTGCACAACGCTGCAGTGGAGTTGTGTAACCTGGCTCAGGATGCAAAGCATCTACGGAAAGGCCACCAGGGCCAGTCGTGAAAGACCGAGCAGGCTGGAAAGCCCCCCCAAGACTAGGAGATATCGGGAGGGAGACCGTGTTGGACCCCCATCCTTAGGGGTGGCTGGAGGTGGGGGCTGTGCATCCTCTGAGGAGCCCAAGACTCGGGGTGCAGGGAAGCAAAGCGCGCGACTCCGGAGTCTGACAGGAGCAAAAGGAGGATGCAGCCGCAACCTAAGGACTCTGGGGGAGTTCTCAGGCTGTGTCCCAGGGAAGTGCCAAGGACATCCCCACTTTCCAGTTACGTAACTCTCACACTTTGGGCGGAATCTACTGAAACACGAACTTACTCATTCAAGTAATTAAAGTAGAAAGTCTCTCAACGGATACATGCAAAGGCCCTGAGTGTTGTCTGAAAGGACGTAGCTGCCACCTGCAGCGATAGAGAGTGGCATCGTGTGACTGTCCCCCCCCCCCAACCCCGCCAGTACCCTCCCTAAGGTGGATGCCGGGTGGCGGCGGAAGGCGCCCGCCGGTCCCCATCACGGAGTCGCCGTGACCGGCAGGTACGCGGGCGTCCGTCGCCCTCCTCCCCACGGCAAGACACCTGCCCGCGGTTACCTGCGGGTTGGCGGGGAGATGCGCGACTTCGGAGACCCTCGTCGTCCTCTCGGAGGGGCCGTTCTCCCCAGGACTGTCCTCCCGCGCCGGGTAGAGCCCGCAGCGGCGCTGGAAGCGCGCCACGAGCTGCGAATCCTGCAGGCTCCGCAGCAGCTCGGCCATGGTGAGCCGCGACCCCGCTTGCTTCTCCGACCTGCAGCCACGCGCGTCCGTGTCCTCGGCGTGCGCCCTGGCCTGGCGTTCCGCAGCCGGGTGCTCCGGGCGCCGGGCGAGCGGGCGGGGCGCAGCGCCAGCCAACAGGTGCGCCGCCCGGGTCCTAGCGCCCGCCCTGCACTCGGGAAACTCAGGTGTCCGCCTCTACCTGGCACACGTCGCGGGCCCCTTCCTCGCCATCTGGACGGTCCCAGCCCGCCCCCACCCCCACCCCCACCCCCGACACCTGTCTCCTCCAGGGCGGTCTCGCAATTGCTTTGAAGAATCTAGGTGCTGGGCCTGCAAGCTGACACCACTCTGTCGGGCTGGTACAGACTAACCACTAAGGAAGAGCATGGGTGCACCTGCCGGGTGCATCCTTCCAAACGCTGCAGGAAGCCTGGAAGCTTTGGGACCCTCTTTTCAAAACTTGAGCCCAAGATGAAGCTGGTCCCCAGCACACACACACACACACACACACACACACACACACACACACACACCTACATCTCAGTTCCCTCTCCCCCCACTTTTGCCTGGTTTCTGCAAGATTAATTCCCAGGAGTCCGGCTCCTAGGGAGAATTCCCAGTGCTTCCAAATTCAGCTCGACGCAAAGTTTCCTCTTCACAGGCCTGTCACCCCCTTCAAACTTGTTCAAGAATAGAATAAATGCAAAGAGGCTGGAGTGAACCCGAGAGATGTCATGAAAAACAGAAATCTCCCCCCCTCATCCCGCCGCCGGCGCCCCCGCCTTGGGTCTTGGTAAGACTTTAGACCCAAAGGGAACAAGGTGCTGAGCGACCACAAGGCGCCCCAGCGACTGCTTTAGAACAGCAAAAGAAATGTCCTGCAGATGTGCCCTGGTTTTTCCTAGGCCCTGCTAAACCTCCCTTCCGGGTCTCTGAGATCCTAAAATGACCTCTGCACTTCATCGCAGGGGCTGAAAAGCAACAGTTAAATGAGGCCCAGGTGATTGCCCTGCAGCAAGACTACAATCCAATCCTTAGTTGGGAGCCGAAGGCTGCTGGGGTGGGGGGGGGATGGGGGAAGGTTGTTCGTGGCTGCCCTTGTGAAACCTGCTGTTTGGCTGAATAAATGGCTGTGGATGAACACCCGCCGCCACCTAGCTCAGCCAGTTGTCCTTCTAGGCTGGGAGGTCTTTGGTTCCTGATGTCTGAGGATGGTGTGGTCTCTTCCCTTGCTCTTTAGTCCTATCTGGAAAACAGGGTCAAGGTGATTAAGAAGGCAGCAACTTCTTCAGAGATGCTATTTTCCTCTTACAGAGAAGCATGGGGCTGCTGTCACAGCCCTGTGATGTCACATCCAGACATGTATAGTGTGTCGCCCCCTCCCCCTGCCCCCCAGTGCTGCTTGCTCTCATTTACAGACACGGAACCAAACCCCATGGTTTGATTTTAACAGCTGGTTTTACAGTCGCTCCCAATCTCTTGCCTTTATAGATTTAAAAAATGTGTTCTCCCATGAAGACACTTGGATGTCTGTGTCTCCCAAATTTGTTGCTCTAGCCTTTCTTTATCTAAGGAAAGAAGGAAAAAAAAAAAAAGACAACATAAAAGATGGCGCACTGAGCGTGGTGACAAATTAGATTTCAGGTACAGCCTTTTTTTTTTTTTTTGGTTTTTCGAGACAGGGTTTCTCTGTGTAGCTTTGCTCCTTTCCTGGAACTCACTTGGTAGCCCAGGCTGGCCTCGAACTCACAGAGATCCGCCTGCCTCTGCCTCCCGAGTGCTGGGATTAAAGGCGTGCGCCACCACCGCCCGGCTGGGTACAGCCTTTTTGACTGACTCAAGTTTTCAGTGATTCATGAGACCCGGGATCAGTCAGTATGGGTTTGTTTTTCCTTCTGTGATGAAACACTAATCTCCATTTGTTGTCTTTCTTAAAAGGCTCTTGTGAAAATCTCCAGATGATCTCCATGAAGCATCATGAGCTGGTCTCTGCAATATACATTGTGTTGTGTGTCCTGCTCTGCGCTCCCTGCCACCATCCTCTGAGGAGAGCTCTCTCACAGAACCCGGAGCTAGGCTGCCTCCGCCCTGCACACAGCCACATCCTCAGGTCCTCACGCTTTCACAGCAAGGACTCGTAGTCCCTGGTCCTTTGGATTTTATTTTTAAAGAAGGGGCCTTGTTATGTAGCCCACACTGGCTTCAGACTCTCAAATCCATCTGCTTCTGCCTAGGAAGGGCTAGATTACAGGTATGTACTGCCATGTGCAGACAGAGACTTGTTTTGAAAAACTCAGTATTGGATTTGTTAGTTAGGGGTAATGGTTAAGTTTCAATAATAAGCAGCCCCCCAAAGACAGTGGTTCTAAAAACAAAAATATTTATCTCTCTGTTGCATGGTCCCAAGGTAAGGCTGCACGGACACATAACTCAATGACTTGAGTTCTCTTCATCCGATTGCTTCCCCATGCCCTGCCCTGGCACCACACCTTAAGTCCGTGTCTTCTTGGGTACAGCTCCTGAAAAGGAGCAGGTGGTGAGTCACTTTCACAATGGGCAAGTGAAGCAGAGGTTTATACTATCGGTAGGAACACACCCTTGCAGTCTCAGGAGAAGCTTGGAAGTGTGTCACTTCTAGCAGGGAAGCCTGGGTCTGGCTTCAATTTTACTGCTGTGGAAAGAGAAGAGGACAGCGTTATCTTGTGTTTATTCACTGTTCGTTCCTGCAAACTACCAGAAGTCTCTACTAGAGTTTGGAAACAAATTATTATTGGTAAAAATGACATAGAATAGGAGCGGCTAGATAGCTCAGCCAGTAAAGGTGCTTATTGTCAATCTTGGGGGCCTGAGTTCGATTCTCAGACCCTACCTGGTAGGAGAAGAGACCTGATGCACACACACACACACACACACACACACACACACACACACACACACTAAATAGATAGATAGATGATAGATAGATAGATGATAGATAGATAGATGATAGATAGATAGATAGATAGATAGATAGATAGATAGATAGATAGATAGATAATAGATGATAAATAAATACTTTTTTTTGTTTGTTTGTTTTTTGAGACAGTGTTTCTTTGTGTAGCTTTGGCTGTCCTAGAACTTGCTTTGCAGACCAGGCTGGCCTGGAACTCACAGAGATCCACCTGCCTCTGCCTTCCGAGGACTGGGATTAAAAGTATGTGCTACCACTGCCCGTAAAATGTATTTTTAAAAATACTGTAACATATAAATCAGTGTTCTACACGGTGTCTAATTTAATCTAGGCTCTCTGTCTTTGATTTGGTACCCTCTAAATGCTTCGATACAAATGCTTTTAAAATGTTTTTCTTTAATTTTGAGAATTTCATATATGTATTCAAAGAAATATGATTATAGCTACATCGATTTTTCTCTTCCAACTTCCTCCATATTCCATATTCTCCCTAACATGCCCTCCTGCCAACATCCTATCTTTTTTTGATAAATCACAAAGTTCAGTTAGTGTTGCCCATGTATACATGGGTATGGGGGATCCACTGGAGCATGGAAGATGTTTTTTTATCTTTTAATTTTTTATTTTTTGCTTTTCAAGACAGGGTCTCTTTATAGAGCCCTGTCTTCCTGGAACTCACTATGTAGACCAGGCTGGCCTTGAACTCACAGAGTCCCACCTCCCTTGCCTCCTGAGTGCTGGAATTAAAGGTGTGTGCCACCAAGTCCAGCAAGATATTTTTTAAAAAAGAGACAGAAAATGTTATTAGGAACAAGTAATACTTTTGTAACTTAAAAGAATTAAAATAAATGCTAAAATCATCCTCACTTTTTGATGAGAAACCTTAGCATTATTTACCCACTAGATTTTGAATATTGATTTAGATTTTTCTCTACAGAATAGGTCACTTCCAAATTGCAGTTCAACCTTTCTGTTTCATCCAGGCAATGTTTCTTAGATCAAGACAATTAGCCAGGGTTTGGGCTCTGTATTAGTTATCTGTGGCTGAGTAACAATTTTCCCCACACACAGTGAGTTAAACCACAGTATCGTCACCTTGTAGTTTCTGTGGTCAGCACCCTACATGCATGTTATCTGGGGCCTCTGACTTTCAGTTTCTCACAAGGCTGAGGTCATCTCCACCTGTGCAGTTTTGCATTTCAGTTCTATATGGGCTGCTGTATCTAGGCCTCCCTCCCATCTGGGTCATACGTACCTCCTCACAGTGCAACTGTGGTCCCAGAGCCTTGCTTACAGAGGCAGATCTGCAGAAACTGAATCTTAAAACTGTTCTATTCAGAGAGCTGACAATCATAGACAATGGTGGATTGACATCCTATCAAAGTCTGAAATCATTTCCAGACAGCAAATTTCATAGGCAGAAGGAAGTGGGGGGGCACTCACATTCTGGAGCTCACTCTTGTCCCTCTGGCGAGGTGATCAACCCCATTTGGGGTATTTGTGATGTCTGTGCTTCTTCCCTTGTCTTCTCTTACATCTTTCTCTGACATTGTCGCTGTTTGGGCTCAGGTGCTTCTTGAAAGGCAAGTCAGGTCATTCTCTACCTGTGTCACCCTCGTCCTCCCCTAGGGGCATTGGGCTGAAAGGAGATGAACTTCATCAAGCAAACTATTAACGGTGTGTTTATGCTGGGCTGTTAAGCCTGGATGTGTAGATTCATTTCTACAGTGTGGGGTGCAAGCGTACCTTTCTAACACAGACTATGACAGTGCCCACACCCATGCCCAGTGTTTTCAGAAGAATAATTGGGAAGTTTCTTCTTGCTACGGAGGTGAAAGGTACCTGGACGCAGGGAAAAGCCACAGGTATGGACTCAATTCAAGACCAATAAATGAAATTTCAAAATACTCTTTCAGAAGAAAGGAATTTCACATATAAGCAAATGCAAATATATGGCTATCTCTCTTCTCTATTTTTAAAATATAGATAATAGCATTCTTCACACAGGGTACCGTCTTGGTTTTATCACAGAGATTGGTCCATGTAAGTATGGTTCTTATGGCTGTACACCATTCCATTCTATGAGCTGAAATTTATTTTCCTAATATAAATTTGGATGGTGTCCAATGTACTGTTTCCAAACAATGTACACTAAGTAACC